CCATCACAGGACTCTGCTCAACTGCTACATTACATTTCAATCTTTAAAGACATATTAGGGCTTTTTAGGAAGACGGTTACTGTATCTCCTACAGTGAGAAGTTTGGATTGTGAACAGGAATGTGGATTTATGACTCAGTCAAGCAAGGAATTTTATTTCTCCCTCATCATATTTTGACATCCCTCCCCCCACCTCCACCCCCACACACACACAAAAAAAAAGAAAAAAAAAGAGGAGAGAATAAAAAGTGACTATTGCAATGAATTTTTTCAGACATACAGAGTCAAGAAGCATGAACAACTTTGATTCCAGATTTATGCAACTCTGCTAGCGGTGATGTAACAAGCTGAAAATTATTTAGGTACTGACAAAAGACACCCACTGACCTGTGAATATAACTGTTTTAACAGAATATATGACTCAAGCCACAAAATATCTAAGCTGAAGTAAAATTAAAAGAACAACGTTACCTGATTTTTAAACAGTATAACACAAACAAGCCTAAATGTATTACAGAAATAAAAGTTTCCTTTGAGAACAACCAAGTCTGAAACCACTGTAAATGTCAGTGCTCACAGTCAAGAAATTTAAGAGAATTTCTTGTGCTATTTTCCAGTCTGCTCTTTCTGGCTGACTAAAGAAACTATACTTGCAAGTATACTAGAGGGAGATCCCCCCAAAAGCTAGAATTTTTAATAAGAGAAGGATGAAGAGACGAACGCATAGGGGCACACAGAGGTCCCTTCCTCCGAATCAATAAAAACAAGGAAAATGATGTAGCAATTTGTGACACACCGTTTTTTTGCAGAAAATCAAACAGAGATTTACACAAACTCTGATAATCTCATTGTATTCCAAGAATAATTTAGGCGGAAGTACCCAAACATTTAATTGCCCCTATTTGAAAGAGCCATAGTAATGCAACCATTTTACAGTCCTCTGCCCTTGATGCCTGACATCAGAGTAATCATTCTCCTAGCCAAGTGCAGCAGAGGTGTGAGCAAAGGAGTGTGGGGAATAGAGGAATCAAAAAGGAAGAAAGGAGCAATTTCTATCTTTTCCCTCAACTTGATTGAGTATCCTTATATTATACTACTGGATTTCTAAAGAAAATAGGGTTTTCCCTGATAAGTCTCTGCAATACACAAAAATCAGACAAACTAATTATATCTAATAGACACAAACTGGCTCATTAGCAAATGGTATTATAACAGAATAAGACACTAAAAATAAAGTGATGGTAGTTTAAGATAAGATACTAAAACTGTGTCACGAGGGATGACAAGCTAATTTCTACATTTTCGTCTTGAAAATTAAACGACTGCTCTAGGATAGCCGACGCAAGCGTATTCCACACGTCACACGTCAAAAGCGGTTCACCTGCTCATTGCACAGACGCTCTGTCTCTTGAAAGAAAACTTAGAGGTGTTGTTTTTTCAAAGCAATTCCATTGAATTGACTGAAGTTCCTCATATTTCTGATCATGAGAAGCAATTTCTCTTTTAGGTGCTGCTGCTGCCTACTGTCACAATGACTTCCCCACACCGAGACAAAAGCCTTGATTTGGGCCCCTATATACTCCCCCGGCAGCACAAAAGCCAGAGCATTTTTTCTGCTGAGGCTAATTTAACAGCTGTCTGTCATTTCCTGCCTCGGCCCCGAATTATGGGGCAGGCAGGGATGAGGCAAAGCAGACTGCCCTCCAAATAATTTGTGAGAACAGTCCCAAATTAGAAGAGCCCTGGGCTGTTTCAAGTTGTACCGGGGTTGGGGGCAGGTCTATGGCCAGAACTAGAATTAGGAGGGTCAAGGGTGGTTGAAAGCCTTTGCACCTCTATTTCCTTTACCAGCCAAAGCATGGGACAGGACTATCCAAAGACTATCGCCCCAAACATTTAATACATGCCAAGCAAAGTGTTTAACCTATAGGCTCAGCCATAGCAAGCTTTGGCTGCCATCTTGCGCGCAGTCAGACCTTCCTTAAGCTTTGCTCCATCAGACGGTGCCCGCATCACAGTGTGATACGCCAGCAGACATGCATGTGCTCCTTTGGCACACCTAGCACACGAGCTGCTATGAAAGACGGGACGAGACTATTTTGTAATGAAAATAAACGCATCTGAAAATATACCTCTTACACCAGCAGAAAGGTCTGCAGTGCCTTAATCCTGCCTTGAGTTTCTAATCTTGTTAGGAGGATACAGTTAAATATATATATATTTGCCTTTTGGCAATATAAGTAGGTTTGTTTTAGAATTACATGAAAAGAACGTCTGCTACATTTTTCCCAGGGGGACTAAAAAGACAGACTGAATCGCCATCTTTGTTTTTAAGGTGGTGGGGGAGGAAGGAAATCATGAACATAGCGACACAATGCACATGCAGCAGGACCTTCATTTCTGCAGGCTGGAATTAGCTAGTAAACACTCTGTGTGGGGGGAATGCAGGGAGCCTAAGGGCAAAGGTCTGCGGTACTATAATTTTTATCCTCACCTTAAATTTTAAGGACACTTTTACACTGTGCAACTCCATCCCTACTCTCTCATTAAATAAATAATTACAGGGGCCAGAAGGTTAGGTAGCCTCAGATGAGACTGAAATGTTGCTACTACTGCCAGCTGCCATGGGATTTGAGAGCCTGACACTTGCTGAAGAGTATCACCTCATCAATGCTCCAGCTGGCCTGAGAAGCCAGAGCCTAAATATTGCTTTTGAATCCAACTCACAAGTGGCCAGCCTCCAATCTACCCTGGTTGCCTTAAAGAAATGCTACTATTACAAATTAACATTGGGGAAGGAAAGGCAAAATGGCAACCAAGACCAGGAGCCCAGATCTGGGTGGCTTTAAATGCACATGTAATATTGGTTTTTTCACAGCAGTAAATAAAAATAGCACATCAATCCTTCTGTGCTTTTACTTTGATATAAGTGAAGTCGATGTCTTCCCATGCACTTATCAGTCACTCAAAATACCCTGCATATTTCACATCTTTAACAGCCACACAAATGCACATTTTAGGAAAATGTCAAAGTTCTCTCAAAGGGTACAATCTTGCCTAATTATCTAATTGCTTTAGATGTTATTTGACAGAGATGGGTTGACACTAGGCTTCAAAAAGCTACAGTGCACAGTTCAGTAGCTGTATGGTAATATATTATCATGTCCAGTCCAAGTTCTAATCTCTTTAATGAGATTTTGAACTAAGTACTGTGACGGCTGTGTTCACATTGTAAATAAAATTAAAACTCTTAGCAATAAAGATATTAATAAATAAATGCATCAGGAATTTTGAACAAGGGACAGATACAATGTCTCTCTTTACCACTAAAGAGTATACTTAAAAAAGAGAAAGGAAGAATGAACTGAACTAAAAAGTGTAATACATTTTTTGTTTGCTTTATCACATTACCCTTAATTCAATATTATGCCCACATATTATAGCATATCTGGTCTTTAGGACCATGAACGGCTCTCAGACTCCACATAGTCTTTTCTCATCTATACATAACAATACTAGATTTTAAACAAATCTGTAAAGCAAAGGAAAAAGACACAACAGACCACTTCCACTGGGCTAAACTGAGCTCTGTTCCACCAGTGTTAATGCAGAATAACTCCATTAACTTTACTGCAGTTACTTCAGATTGACACCAGTATAAATGAAAGAATGATTTAGCCACCATGGATTTATTTTTAAATGGATTTTGTTACTGTGTAATATAAGTTCAATATTTAGACTGAAAAACTAAGGCAATCTGTTCTTACAAGGAATTGATAGTAAAGAGGCAAGAGATTTTGTTTCTTAGTTTCCTTACAGACAATAAATTATATTATATTTAGCTAATATTTCAAAAAAAAGAGATCAAGGAAATCCACTGTTGTAATTTTGCTTCTATGGGGGTGAGGAGGGGGGAGATCAATAAAGAGCATTAATATTGAAATCACCAGAGTTAATTTGTGCTGCTAATTTTATCCAGCAGCTACAAATAGGTTTACACTAATGCACATATATGCCAAACACAAGGAGAAAATTAAACCACATGCAGATACACCCTGAAAATTATTTCCCCTCTGTTAGCACAACTTTCTGAGTAGTTAGCTTTTTCACTCCATTATTATTTACTAAATAAGCTGGCATATCGACCACAGCCAATTAATTACAGGGATTTCTGGCTAAGCAATCGTGACTGAAATATGAGTTTTGTTCTTATTAAAGTCACCTTTTTCTTTTTCTACAGAAATATGATGATGAGATTAAAAATATTGTAACAGATATACCAAACAGCTTGCAATGGACCAACCAGCCTGCTAAATAAATTTGCTTACGTTTTCTAGACTCGAGAAAAGGAATCTCTGTGATACATTAAAATCACCCATCGACAGCCCAAATATTGTAATTCGTTTTAATGCACTGAAAAACTAGACATTCACTATTGCCCCATCAGGCCTAATTTTTTTTAAATGAGGCTGAAAGGATGATTTCCTTGTAGCTGCTCTGCCATGGACTAGATAGCAAACATTCTGCTATTATTAAAATACTAAGTCAAATTATTTTAAGCCACAACAGGCGAAATTTTAAAAAGTATTACTGGTAACCATACAGTCTAAAGACACAGTCTGAATCACTACCAGAAGTAGAGAAGCAGCCATCTGATTCTAAAAATATTTGAAAAAAACCAAAAACCAGAAACACCAATATTGCATCAAATATACACAGCAACTAAAGTTATTATATTCAGCTCTATTGCTTTCTGTCAGAAAATAACTTGTTAAACTACATTTTGCTGTTGTCGGTTCCTTAAGGAGCACGTAATAGTCTTCAGATTAACACAAGAATTTTAAGCAAGCAATTTAGCCACATACTGTAAAATCATCCCATGCAGGTTATCTGTCTTTACCTTAAACAACAGCAGCAATCCATAAATGCATTTGCTAGCACATTAAAAAAAAAAAGAAAGAAAGAAAGAAAGAAATTCAGATTTCTGGACAAAAGCCTTACCTTTCAAATAAATAACCTGTCCACAGATTTAGCAAAATCATTTCAAAAGCCAGGCCTTAAGCACTTTTAACAGCAATAAAATGCCGCTTTTAGACTTCCTGTTTATTGAAATATTAGTACGAGGGTTGGTTGTTTCTTTTTCTTTCTTTTTTTTTTTTCCTGCAAGGCATTTTACCTGCGTTTTACTGCAGTTAAAAGCCGGGGCATGGCTAAATCCAAGCACATAGACATAGATTTTTTTTTTTTTTAAAGAGTTAAAATTCTGGATATACATTTAAAGCTATTTTACTTGCAGACATTTTTCTTCCTTTTTTTTTTTTTTTTTGGAGAAAGAATGAACTAGAGTAGCAGTCAAGTTCAGGTCCCTTAACCCTGCTTCAGCAAGTCTTCTGTTAAATTTGTTTAATATCCCTATATTCCGGCAGTTGCTAGGCAAAGTTGTCTGAAAGATAATGATGTCTGGCCATCAGCTCCTCTCATTTAGAAATAACCATATATTAGCTAACAAGTCAGGAAAAAAATGCACTCTCACTCACACACAAAGCAAGCAGGCAGCGAAAGGAGGGGGATGGGAAGAGAAGAAGCAGAACAAGCCTTTATGTACACACATATATCGATGTATCTTTAAAGCAATCTCAAACAGGAAAACTGAACAAAATAGACAGTGAAATCATTACCTAGAGGCAAGCCCTTGTTTAGTAAGTGAGAACTTCCCATTGATATATATGTCCAGTCTCTTTATAATGAGAACTTCAGGAAAATATTAAAAAAATCCTAAGCATATGGCGGCTACTTCTATTTTTCCCTGAAGTAACACACACACACATTCACACACACACACACACACACACACACACACTCACACACACACAGCCCAAGTGCTGCTGTCTCTGAAAGTGGGAGAGGCATGCAGGCGGAGCGTAGGGCAGACAAAATTAATCTCTTGTTTCCAGGCACAGAAGAGAAATGAAAAGGAAACGGGAGGGAGAAAGCAGAAATAGCTCAATTCTGCACCGTACCTTTGTCAGTTTCAACAGGGGAAGGGAGCGTGGGAGAGGAAAAAAAATGGACCGAAAACCCAAAATTACTTTCATAGTGTCGTAAAATTGAGTAATCTAGCCGTATCAATTTTCAAACAACTGAGCTGTTAGTCATATACCTTCTTCAGCAATTGAGCAAGGTAAAAAGTTTCACAGTGCAATTGCATTATGCATTTTTTTTCCCCCTTTTTTTTTTTTTTTAATTTCCCCCAGTCAAACGCCTGCTCACATCCTTACAGTTTATTTTACAATTTGGTTCAGGTTTTTTCCCCTTATAGGCTAATGCCAAAAAAATGCTCATTTTCCAAGGGACCCCAAGTGAATTGTAAATAAGAGAAATAACTATATCTTTGTTTACAGAGCCCTCTTTAATGGCTCAAACTGTAAAAGAGTGAAGGTCCAATTTTTTCTTCAGCTGAGCTAGTAAGAGCTAGCTGACTGATATGGGAATACCTACAGAGTAACTGAAGGCAGACTTGGAACAAAATGTATGTGACTATCCAAATCCTGCTATTCTTCAACATCAAATAAGTTCCCATTAATTTCCATTAATTCGACAATGCCCGCTGGTCAGCGTGCTGTCGCTGGCCCCCCTTTGTGTTTCATCCACAGAGGATAAAAGTCTCTTCCATGTTGATCAAGGTGACAGCTGTCCAGACTCACTTCCCTTTCAGTCCAGCAACTGGCCTTGAAGTCAGTGGGACCAGTAACCAGCTGAAAGAAGATAAAAATGACTTCAGCTACAAATTTGAGCTTTGGATTGGGCCTGCAGTCAACTAAGGCCACGAGTTCACTGTAGTTTTTCATTTTTTTCTTGTTATTAAACTGCATTGGACCATGGCTCAGACCCTACATAAGGACTGACTGGATTTGACTCCAGGAGCTGGGAGTTGGTTTTGACCCACATTCTTTGCAATCCCTTGCCTTCTAGCTTTGTCTCACTAAACCTCAACCTAAAAACGACATTTTAAACAGACCACTCTCCCATCTCTATCTTATGATCTAGTCAATAGTTTAAAAGTAAATTAAAATATAGCTCCAGTTAGCAAACCTGCTCTTGAGTCCCCTTGAGTCTAGTTTCTGAGGTTATAATATTTTTATTATTTAAAAAATGTTTCTCTCCAGCTACTTGTATGAAAAGCGCACAAAATAAAGAAACAGACAAGCTGACTATACAAGCAAAATGGTGAAACTGGTTATATATAAAGTAAATAGACCTGAAAAACATTTTAAAAAACCCGCTCCCTTCTCTAATGCTTTTCATTTATAGGGATCAGAACTATTAAGTGTATAAACCGTATTCACCACATGTCAGACAGCAGCATGATTTTGACATTGGCAGTGTCCCTTTACAGCCCAAATGAAAAGACTTTGAACAGCAATCATTCAGTTATTAATGTTATTGTTGCTTACCCAGTCACCGCAGAACTATTCTAACTGGTCCCCAACGTCCTGTTTCCTATGGATTCAACCCCTACCCCCATACAACAATGGGAAAGACAATGGCTCCCACAGCTAACTGAAATTGTCAGCATTAACCATGGACAGAGCAATGATGTTGCACATAATCCAGTCTTGCTGATATTTGAACAGCATGAGAAGACGCGGTGGTTACCTACTATAGGGGTCTTCTCCACTAGAAGCAAATTAACCAGTATTGACACCAAATTTAAGTTACCCTTCTGCACAGAGCCATAAAGTAATAACAAAAGTCATTCGAATGCTGTAAACCCTGTGTGAAGAAGCTTAATTACAAGTAATGGGCAACATGATACCTTTTGTTGCCACAGGCAAGGGAAACACGGATCCTGAATCTGACTGGGGGATGTGGGGAAGGTTCTGTCTCTGCTCAGAAAAGTTCAGGAGAGGTGGTGTCTAGCTTGTGAAATGGTTTGTTGCAGCTAGAATATCTGCTGGCTCTGAAAGCTTCTCTGCCTTTAACATCCCGCCTGGAATAAGTGAGCAATGAAAGGTTTTCAAAATGCATATAAACACCCCACAGAGCTATCACACTTATGGCCTGTGGGCTGACCCTGGCTCACAGAGGCATGTCATGTGGCCTGTGGGGCTCATGGAGGGGCCAGGAATTTGGAGTCAGGACATGCCACCAAAATCTGGGACACGGAGCCCTACTGGCAATCCATGTCGGTGGTGGGGTGAGTGACAGCTGTGTTAACTTCTGCGACCACTGCCACATCCAGCTCAGAAGAAGCCGTGAGAGATCCAGCCCTGGCCAAGAGGACAGGGACAGTCCTGCCATGGAACTGACCAGGTACACTTTGGATTATATCAGGGGCTCTCAAACTTCATGATACCATGACCCCGTAAAATAATATATACATTCACGTGACAACCCCCCC